AAAAAAAAAAAAAAAAAAAAAACCCACACCCAACTCACTAACCTTAGCTGTCAGTAGTATTTAATTTTCACATGAAGAATGCTTTAGAGCTAAGAATCACAGAGTCCTTCTAAGAAGGTAGAAAGAGGACATTTCACTATAACACCAGCCATCTCCTCAGACTAATCTGTAACCCTAGTACAGAGTAAAGAACCCACACAATCTGAGAAAGATGAAAGAGGTCTGATTCTATAGGCTGGAAAACCCTGCACAAAACATCAGTTTTAAAAATCACCAATCTGTCAGTCATGGTGGTGCACACCTATAATCCTAGCCCTTGGGAGGCTGAGTCAGTAGGTTCAAGACCAGCCTGGTCTACATAGCAAGTTCAAGGCCAGCCTGAAGTACACAGCAAGGCCCTGTCTCAAAAAGCCAAAACAAGAAAGAAATCACCCATCTACTCAATCTTACAATTAAATCTGGAAGCAGATATGTTGGAAACTTAATTCTGTATCTCATACTACAAACGATCTAGGAGACCAAATTTACTAAATAAGACACATTATCTATATTAAACACTCTCTCCTCCTTCCTTTCTCAGAGATAAATCCAAAACTATTCCATTGTTCACCAAATAAGTTACTCATTTAATAAAAATCTCCACTTAGAAGCTAGACTTTTTAAAGAGTCAACTTGTTGCTACAATCAATTTCATTATAAGAAATTTAAATAAAAGCAAAAATTTGAGGCCAGTTATGAATAGTACTCTAATGCTCCACTGAAGTATTAGAGGATATTTTTCATCAATTTCTTTTACTTAAATTCTTGACTTACTGTGTACATTAATCACTATCGGCAATGCCTGAAGTCAGTCTCGTTAAGAGGTATACAAACTAGAGTCAAAAAGGTTGAGTGAAGACAGGGAACTTAAGTGCATCCCTTAAAACATTTTTCTCTTACCTCTTCCTTAATATTAAATCGTGATGGTTCTTGTCTGCTTCGGTTCGACCTTCTGACTCCATAAACATCAGGATATTCTTCCCACATCTGCAAAATGAATAGATCATATATCAATCTTTTTTGTTCTTCACACTCATTTACTATTTTCATTACTAGAACATTTTGTTTCAGGTAACTCAGTATGAAAAGGGTTGTTCTGCTAGTTTCATTTATGAGAAAACAAACCACCATCACAAAGAACAGACAGCCGCATGGTGATGCACACCAGCACTCGGAAGGCTGAGGCAGGATCCCCGAGAGTTCAAAGTAATCCTGGGATTCAAGGCTTCCCTGAACTACACAGCGAGACTTTGTCTCAAAAAACAAAACAAAAAAAGGTCTAGTATTATGATCCGAGGATAGAAAGTTTAAAATGCCCTTCATTACATAATGTCTATTATACTATAAGGTACCGTTTACCCATCAATGAAATATAAACTGGTAGCTGAGTAATATGTCCAGGTAAGAGAATAATTACTTCTGCTAGAAACAAAGTATTTAGTGATGGATTTTCAATTCTCTAAGGCTCCAAGTTTCAACTCTGCAGAATCCAGAAAATAAAAGCAGCACGGATCCATCAAGTCTGCTAAATAACAACCAGGGCATTTGTTTCTTCAAATCCCTTATGTTCCACCGGCATCACTCAAGGAGCATGCAGATTAGGTGTTTCTAACATTAAGCTAGAAACTATCAGAATGAGAACCACTGCCACTCTTTTTTCTAGCACACCTATTTTTATTCCCCAGCAATAATTACCCTTTGCCTTTTAGGACCTGATTTTAAGTAAGAATCCTCACTAAGGACTTAAAAAGTTAAATTTAGGCAGGATTAGTTGGGGAGAAAAATTTTTTAGCTCTCCACCCCAGAGATAACTACTACTAAGTATATTCTATGTTTTTTAGTGAAATCAAAAATAAGCAAGAAGGAATCTAAAGCAATCACGGGACACTAATATAAATATTTTAATAGCAGTTAAGCATGTAGAAGAGACATCTGAAAGCCAAGATTAGAAATGTGGATCTGTTATCAATACACAAGTGGTAGCCGATGTCATAAAACCATTTGGAAATGTAAGGCACAGAATACACAAGAGAAACAAATCACTGTCTCAGACTAGTAAAATGTGTGGAAAATGGACCCTGAAAAGAACTAAACTGATGAGAGTTGACCCAAAAACACAAAACATCACCAAGCCAAGGGAGGACATTATTAACAAAAACTTTAAAAAGGCTTCAGCGAGCTGAAAAGCAAGGCCTCAAAAAGAAACAGTATGGCCCAGAGAGAGGCACTTTGTTACTAGAATCCAACATAGGCAAGTACTGTAACAGAGTCCTCAGAGTCCCTCATGATTACAGTCATGTCACAGGATGACTTTAAAAGACAAAAGGCCCAACCTCTCAAATGTGATGGTGCAAACCTGTAATCCTGAAGCAGGAGGATCCCTCCGAGTTCCAGGCCAGCCTGGGCTACACAATGACTTCAAGGCCAGCCTGGACTACACAGTGAGACCCTGCCTCAAAAAATAAATAAATAAATTTTTAAAAGCACAAGCAGAGGGAGTGAGGAGTAACGTGTGAGAAAATACAAGTTGAAGATTTAAGTAAATGTAAAACATACCAGACAAATCTGGCAAACAAGGAAAGGACAAAGAGCTTTACTCTAGCCAGTCTGTGGATGTCCACAACCACCCCCATTGCCCTGCCTTTCTGGACCTCTGCCAGAGCCATGAAATTATTAGATTCAGTACAGGTTTTTATGGCACTTTAATTTACTGTGATAGCTAAATCATTTAAGACTAAATCATTGGAGATCTGAGAGATAATAGCTGTAAATACCAGAATCAACAAAAAGTTTAGGAAAATTTTAAATTTACAGAAGTCAAAGCACTCCCTCTCATGTGCAGATTTTATATCCTGACATTGTGTTCATCACACTTCATTCAACACTGTACTGGAGGTTTTGTTTTGTTTTGTTTTGTTTTGTTTTAAACAGTCTCACTATGTAGCACAGGCTCACCTCATGCCTCAGCTTTCAAAGTGCTAGGACTACAGGAGTGTACCACCTCACCTGCCCTGGCCCTGCCTGTCAATTATTAAATAATGTGATAAGCGATTTCTCTTCCACTATTCAATTAACAAAAACTGTCCTTTCTTGAATCATGATTATGTATCACTGAGCTTTACAGATGCATTCCATAATGAAAAGCAGAGTTGCTCTTAAATGTCCATGCTGTTTACTACTGGTATTAGCACAGTACAAAGTTTTTTTTTAATTTTTTAAAAGTTAAAAACCAAAACTATGACAGTTTCATTTTGGACCTATAAGTGGATGACGCATGTTGCTCAGTATTTCTTTTTGGCTCTAATATCATTTATATCGATCAGTCAGCATAGCAGAAAGCCATTCCCATTTGTACCCACAAGTACTGTATTAGTAGACAGGGCTATGGTTTTCACAGGAAATGCTGGCTGGTCTTAGCTAGTGGCACATTTGTATTGTACGGCAAACAAGATACCTTGTTCAAGCTGGGCGTGGTAGCATACACCTGTAGTCCCAGCGCTTGGGAGGCTGAACCAGGAGGACTGCTGGAAGTTCAAGGCCCGCCTGAACTACACAGCAAGACCCTGTCTCAAAAAAACAAACAAACAAAAAGATGAAGATACCTTCTTCACATCAGCTATCCGTTCCTTCTTGGACGCTGGCTTCTCTTTGGCTTCTGGAAGGACTGGCTGGGATTTGGAGCCTGCAGATTCGCTCTCGGACTCTGACTGACTCTCAGAAGATTCAGAAGTGCTATTTGAGTCGCTGCCATGTCCACTTCCTGGGTCACTTCCTTGCTCACTTTCTGACTGGCTGCCTGAGTCTGAACCCGAAGCTTCTTCAGAGCCTGAATGGCTTGTTTTAGAAGAGAAGAGGCAAACACAGACAGATTTAAATACTGACACAATTTTTTTTTTTTGGTAGCTGGGATCAAACTTGGGACCTTGCACTAGCAAGGCAGGCGGCGGCACCACTGAGCTAAATTCCCAGCCCTGACACATGATTTTTTTAAAAAAGCTTCATGATAAAATATCAACGGATTTTAATTTTAAGACCAGAATCTTCAAATTCACTTTTATATTCTTATATTGCAAACAATGTCATTACTATCACTGTCCATATCATATCCCCAATAGCTACCATTTCCTGAGTTGTATGACGCCATATACCAGCTGATTCATAGAGACTACTTCCTTTACAAAGACTAAACGTGGGTATTATTCCCTTCATTCAGGTGAGGTAAAAACTAAAGCTCATAAGTATTTAAGTAACTCTCAAATTTTTGCTGACACAATCTGAATCCACTAAGTCTTATCTGTTGAGTATCACTTTCCCCTTAGGACAAACTAAATCAAAAAAGCACTTAACCAAGAGGAAGAATGAAATCTGGCTGCAAGTATTCAACCAGTAGTTCAATCAGTAGGTGCTAATTAGACTCATCTAGAGAGCTTTATAAACATATACATTAATTCCAAGCCAGGAGTCTGGCATAGCAAAAGAGGCACTAACCCTAATGAGACCGCCTAAGCTTGCTACTGGCCTCCACACTCCTCTCCCTGCCTCATTCGAAACATTACTCAAGGCACAGCAGTCCAGGTAAAAGGATGACATGGAGCCATAGACAGACATAGAGGGCAGAGCTATGATCAGAGTACCGACCTGTAAGGCAGAAAAGCCACCACCAGCTCTGCTTCTCTAGGAGCCAAAAACAACTGAGAGGCTTGCTGAAGAAGTGGGATACTTTACAGTGAGAAGACCTAAACTTCACGGGCTCTACAAGGGAAGGGTACAGCACACTCACATCTGTTCACCTGAACAATGGGGAAGAAAGGTGTTTATGGGGCACACAGCACAGGATGTGACCCAAAACCTACGGTAATGTTAACTTACACAGAGGTCTTTGAGCCCAGCCTGTGGCACAAAGCCTGAAGCCTGAAAAGATAAAGGCAAGCGTCACAGCATATACCATCAATGTACCTTCCAACCTAGCAACGAGGACACATTGCTGGACAAGTACATCCGCAGAATGAACATGTGAAGAGAACGCCGGAAACTAGACTCAAATAATTCCGTGTCATCCAGAGTAAGCACATTACAGTATGGGAAGCAAAAAAAAAAAAAAAAAAAAA